AAATCATATGGATTAAAGAGGGGTAGGGCCGAAATGGATGTTGAAACTTGAAATCGCATCAAATGCTAGTGGTGGGTCTTCCGGCGAAGCTAGACTTTTTTTATCCCAGAAATCTTGACGATTGTGTACCATTCTTTCTCGTTTTTTAGAAGTTGGCGAAGGCGGTCTGCCCAGATGTTATTGCGGCTACGAAGGAGTTGCGACAGATGATGGAGTTGCCATAGACTTGTGAGAAAGCCCCAATGGTCGAAGGGTGAATCTTTTGTTGTTGTGGAATCTGATAAAGCATATATGGATTTTGGGATGTTCTATGATGAAATATTGGCAGCCATTGTTATTAACGAAGGAAAGAAAATTCTTCTTGGTGCGACGATTAGAATTTTTTAGCAAAAGAAAGAGGATGAAGTAGCTGAAGCCTGAAGCTAAAGCTACATATGATGAAATATTGGCGGCCATTGTTATTAAAGAAGGAAAGAAAATTCTTCTTGGTGCGGCGATTAGAATTTTTTAGCAAAAGAAAGAGGATTAAGTAGCTGAAGCCCGAAGCTAAAGCTAAAGCTAAAGCTACATTTCAATCCTAAGCCCCTGCTTAGTCATCGCTTAAGGTTGAGGAATCATCGCCTGCCTCTAAAGTGGATGCTCCATCTCCGACAGTTGCTACTGCTTCGGCTCCCACCGCACTACACCAGAAAAGGGTGGTGGTAACTCCATATGCATCAATTTGTGTTATNTTCAAACATGGATTTAAAATTTCTAGAAAATCTTGAATCAAAACGAAACAACCTAGAATTAAAACACTTTTAGAATTCACAAAAGAAAAACTAGAAATTGAGAAAGAAGCATATCCGGAAGGAGTAGCACTCGTCGGTCCAGTGATGGGTTCTTTAGGTGGTGGTTGGCGAGGCAAGTTATACAGCAGTTGCAGGCAACATTATGGGTGGCTAGTGATGGTGGAACTTTCTGGAGGTTTGGGGATTTTGGAAGTTTTTTTGCCCATATTACTTAAGGGATTAAGAACTTTAATTAGTTTTAAGATTATTTTTCTAATTTTTTTTTTTTATTTTGGGAGGGTAGGGGACCTAATTTTCTCATAAAAGAATGTAATTTTGTGGGTTTGTTTTGATATTCAGTGATTAATATAAGTATAAAGTTCAGACTTTGTTTCAATGACTCTTTAAATATAATTTCCAGCAATTATCAAGTGAACAAGAATTGCATAGAAATATAATTTCTTGAAAATTGATAAAATAATCAATTAATCAGCCTATGCCGATATAATTTCTATAATTAAAAGAATCCACAAAAAATGAGCCCAATAAAATATAAACTTATTGTATTTGATACCATGTGGAAGTATTTCAATGTCGGAATCCACTTCTCGTGTCTTCAAAAGGTGAACAGCAATGGTATCCGGCCATAGTTCGTGGGTACATCTCGTGGGAGGCTCAGGGTAGTTGTACATCGACCATTTAGCATTGTACCTGTTCATTTGACGACTACCATCTCCTAGCCACTCACCAAAAGTTTTATCCTTCTGTCTTTCCATATGATTTTTCGGAATTTTTGAGTCCGTAATCCATTCGACGATATCCCAAGAAACTAAATAGCCCATACCAGACGTATAATGCATGAACGGATCCATACTAGGGCATGGAATAACATATCCATTGTATAATTCTTCTCTAGGCAATGAGATTCATTTGCAGTATATGTAAAACAATGATGCAGTGTAACAACTTTTTGCTTGAGTAGTAGATCAGAAAATTAAAATTTTGGACAATGATTCGTTCTCATGTAGTCTCTGTTCTCAAAAGCACTTCTTCTTAGGTAGAGCTCCTTCCCTTTCACTATAATTTTCTTTTATGTGAAATAGTTAATTTCTCTAGCAGCCTTTTCTTTTATTTTTGTTTTCTACACTAGGTAGAAGTAGCCCTAGCGACAAAGTGACTGTTTCTGAGGGCATGGAAGCATCGGTCATTTAAATTCTTTTACAAAGTTTAGTAATTGAAGAGGTAAAAATACAATTTTAATAAAAAGTCTACAAATCCATGAGAATCTATACAAATCTATTAAAATCTACAAAGTAGAAATTCATTCAAATCTTATGAAATCTGTTAAATTCCATTAAATTCTATGAAAAATTATAAATATTAAGAATTCTATTGAACTCTGAGTTGAGGACACTACTGCTAATCTTGTCACATCATTTTTTAATCATCAACGGTTTGACGCTAGAAGGAGGGCGTGTGAAAAATAGCCCACATCTCCTGTGAAAGTTTCATTAAACATCGCATGTACCATCCCAACAATATCATGAGCCACAACTATGCTTTCAGAAACCATTCTCACACTAATCCCAATGAAACAAGTCTCCTAAGAAATTTTCAAAGGAGGAATGAATCTGCTGAGGGCTCACCGCCTTGAAAGAGGTCATAGAACAAATCGGGTTAGGTTGGTATCAGATTGGACCAAACTGACCAATTTGGGTCAGTTTGGGTTAGGCCCAAAACTAATCTAACCCAACTCAATGCCCAGTCCTAAACTTAATTCCAAAAGTCTCCGCAAATTAGATTAATTTAAATTTGTTTAGTATGATTTAGTTAAAATTTAAACTCATGATTTGTTAATTGATGACCGAATTAATTTAGATTGAAGTTAGATACGTACTTAGTTTCTGTGGGATGATATCTAAACTCACAATCCACTTTATTACTTGTCACAATTTGTACAATTGCAAAATAATGCGATCAATAGTAATTATCTATCATTTGAGAGATAATTTTTATTGTTGTCGTCTCTTTCTCTATACTCTCTGTCTTCTCTCTGATTTCTTGTTTCTTGGTGAGGTTTGATCTAAATTGAGATTTTAAGGTTTGTATGTTGTTCTTGGTCAGAAGTAACCTCTAATTCCTTGGTTTAATTTTGGTTTCGAAGAGAGTTGTGATAGAAAACTTCTTTGTGAATACTCGATGTATTCTTTGTAAACTCGAACATTGTTCCGTTGTGCTAATGGATGGGGAATTTACTTTAAAAGCCTAGTCAATCATAATGTTTGGTAAAATAGCCTACGTCAATACTTATTGTTCAAGGAGTCTATAGTCAATTTGGTTATATATTAAAAGTCTTAAATATAAGTGTTATGTCGTAGGTCCTACCAATTTTGGACATAAACACTTTTAATATATATAATCGATGCGTATTTATGACAATATCTATTATTTAATTAAATTAATATTCTAATAAATTAAATAATAGAATCCGTAGATTCAAATTTTAGTGATTTGCTAATTATAAGGAGTTGTGATTGTGAGATACAAATTACATATGATTGAATCTTAAATTGTTCGTGGTCGTATGTAATAACGAAATTACATTTGAATGAACACGTACATATTTTGTTATAGAACAAAACATTGGAGACCCGCTTGGAGATTCCACATGGATAACTATTTGAGTGTCGACGGTTAATCTCTAACGTTCGGTAGTGAAATTGGTTCTTTGACTTGAGGTCTTCATAATGCTTTATATGAGGACAATCATACTTTGATGATGTTGGATGTTACTCTACCAAGGGTCGCTAATACAGTATCGTTCGGGTATGTCAAGAATCATATGAAAGTTGTGAATGATTAATAGATGATTCGTCACCCTTATATAGTAAGAGATTATGATCTACATTTTATCCAGTTAAATTGATAATGAAATCCTTGACCAAAGTGAACTCATAAGTCGAAAAGGAGTTTTCAACTTATATTGATTTAATAGTGGGATAAAAGATATGATCGATTTGCCAATTAATTAATTGACAAGTGTTGGATAATTAATTAATTTGATTGCTGATTAATGGGTCCGAATTAATTAATTGGATTAATTAATTCATAGAGCATATTTAATTAATTTGATTAATTAAATATTGGACCCGGTTAAGTTTAAGAGACGGGTCAGCCAGCTTGGACTTATATTAATGGGCTGCTAGGGTTTGAAAATCGAATGGAATAATTTATTATTCTTGCTAATATAAGAAAAGAAAACCCTTGACGTCATTCTCGTTCTCTAGGTGGATCATTGTTGGAGGCTGGACAATTGGATATCTTGGATTGCAGATCGTGATCATTCGAGTTCGAGAATCAGTAAAGGAGTTCGCAAAATTAATCAAAAGTATTATTCTAAACACAATTTCTATCTAAACACAAAGCAAATTCGAAGTGGAAATTGGAAAAATTATTTATTTTCCGCTGTGCACGATTATGTAAATTCCCAACAATGGTATCAGAGCCTACTTTGTGTTTGTTAGAAATTGTTTTGAATTATAGAACAATAGAAAAGTTGATATTTAGAAAATTATTTTTCATCTTCAAAATTTGTTTGAAAAAGAAAATAATTTTTGGTAAAAAAAAAAGGATCGAGTGTACACCGCTGGCCATGGCGACGAAACCGGCTGCCACGGACAAAGGCAGTGTGCCGCCACCGAACGGAAGCAGTAGCGACTGTCGCCGCTGCGAATTACAACAGCGACTATCACTGTTGTTGCGGCGCTCGCCATCACTGCAAGTTGTAGCGGCGATTTAGGTGGCAGAAGGCCGCCATGTATTGATCCGGCGACCTTTGTCACAGCCATTAGATACAGCGCCGGCAAGAAAAAAAAAGAAAGGAAAGGGGGTTTTAGGTTTCATTTTCGAATTGGGTGAATTTGGGGACGGGGGCCTCCCTTGCAATTTTTGAAATCTTGGGGACCCATATGTAATATTGGAATAAGGGTTAAGTTTGCAATTTTTTTAAAAAATGACCTATTCTCAAATGTACGAAATTGGAAGGTCCTTGTTATAATTTTAAACCGAGGCTCAAATTGTAATTTTCAAAAGCAGTTTTGAATTTAAACATTAAAATAATTTTTAAATTTGATTTTCAAATGGGTTTTGACCCGTATTATCAATTTTGACCCGTTTAAAATTATATTTAAAATTGACGATTTTTATATTTTCGTTAAAATTAAATTTTAACTTAAATATTAAACTTTGACCCTAAATTGTATTTTATTTTATTTATGAATTTTATCCTAAATTAAAATGTTAAT